ACCCTAAACCCAAAACCCTAGACCGTAAACCCCAAAAGACCCTTATCCAAAAGTAAGCCTCATCCCATCGAGCCATATGGCTCCAGACCTGCTTTATCCCCCGTCAACGCTTTGAGGATTCCGAAGGCTGTACCCATGGGTAGTTCTCTAAATTCGGGTCCCCTTTGAGGTCCCCAAGATAGCACGGCGCTCTTATAAAAAGGACCCCTAAACCCTAAACCCTAAACCCTAAACCCTAAACCCTAAACTCTAAACCCTAAACCCTAAACCCTAAACCCCAAACCCTGATTTAGAGAACTACCTCCATAGTCCCCACAGTAGTTCTGTTTTGGGATTACCTAATAGGATCCTAACTACGAACCACAAAAAGGAACTACTATGGGGCTTATGGGTATAAGCCTAGCCCTATAACCCCAAAATCTTAGGGCTCATATAAAGAACACTAAAAGAAAATATTTTAAGCAAGGACCCCTTTAGAACGCTGTCAGCAACCCTCGTAGGAGCCATCTTCAAACCCTCACCAGACTGTCTTCTCCCTAAACCCTAAAACACAAAAAGCCTGAAACCTTAAAACCCAAAAACCCTACACCCTAAATTCCTAAAACTCTTAAAAACCTTAAAACTGGAAAGCCCTAAAGCCCTTAAAACCCTAAAACCCTTCAACTTACTGTAGAAGCCTTCATACTTAGAATAAGGTTTGGAGCTATATTATCCCATACTTATGACAAGGAGCGCCCCCAAAAAATAGCATTGGTAATTATTAAGGCCCTGAAGTAGCGTCCTTGAAACCCTAACACCCAAAAGCCCTAAACCCTAAAGCCCTAAAGCCTTCAAAACCCTAAAAACCCTTACTAAAGCCCTTCAACTTGCCGTCCTCTCGGACCGCTGGGACCTAAACCCCCAAACCCTAAACCCTAAAACCCTAAACCCTACAACCCTAAACCCGAAACCCCAAAGCCCCAAAACCCTAAAACCCTAAAATCCTAAAACCCAAAACCTCAAACCCCAACACCCAAAAAACAACTGGGGACTCCTTTTCTCCGGAAACCTCCGCCGCGCGCTGCAGCAAGGGCCCCTCGAGCCCGAAACCGGGGCCTTCCCCGCGGCTGTTTTGTTTTTCGGGGGTTCAGGGTTTAGGGGCTTTGGGGTTTAGGGTTTAGGATTTAGGGTTTAGGGTTTGACGGTTTTGGGGTTCAGAGGTTAAGGGTTTAGGGTCTAGGATTTAGGGTTTTGGGGTTTAGGGTTTAGGGTTCAGGGTTTATGGGTTTTGGGGTTTAGGGGTTTAGGTCTAGGGTTTAGGGGTTTAGGTCGAGGGTTTAGGGTCTTTTAGGGTTTAGGGTTTTGGGTTTGGGGTTTAGGGTATAG